TAGTAATTTTATTACTTACCGAAATTTAAATACAAAGTGCAGTGCGCACACGTTTACGAGTATGTATATCTGTGTTATCAAGCTCACGAAAATAAAACAAGTACGATTTCTTGAAAACCAATTTCTTTCAGTATAGACTGTTAATTGCAATAGTCAGAACAATAATTTTCAGTGAGTATTAGTGATTTTGAGTAAATTTATAATATGCATTATCTATTTTGTTTGCGTACTTTATTGTGTTGTATACGTTATTTTTATATATGATGTATATTTTGTATAATTTCACATCTATTAAATGTCCTTGTTATCTTTTTATACTGCACATTTTACTAGCATGAAATACCTTCACGTTTTATTTAAGTTATTTTGAGTGCTAATAAAATTTTTACGGCACTACATTGCTTGAATTCATTCGATATACTATTATCAATACTGTAGGTACTAGCATGGCTGCACATCAAATCGCATGAGTTATTTGTGGTTGACTTACTTTCTAACCCGCTACATCTGATTTCAGTATGTTAACCTATTGATTGCGAGCTCTTATAAACAAAAGAACAATTTATGTGGGTAAATTAAGTACGAGAGTTATAATAAACGAGAATGTTATGCATCGTAACAAGTTGACAATTTATTTCGTTAATATCACGTTATTACGTTGCAATTAACTTCTTGAAAAATTACATGAAACTAATAACAATATCAAACCAAGCATATTAATTAAATTAACCAGGACTAGATATGCATTGTTTACTAACAACTGCTTCTGAAAAAAAGTTTTGTGTTAATTAATCGAAAAGATGTCATATTAAATACTACGAGTATATTACTGTTAATTGGTGAAAAATAAACTCCTGCATAAAATTGAACTACTGGAACTACTTGATCTCTAGAGCTTTCCAAACTTTGTAAATTAAATTCTTTAATTGAAAAAATAATCAATCTCAAAATCCCATAGTGGTCAAAGATTGAAATGCACAATTTGAATACTTGAATGAGCTTGGACACTCATTGCATGAACGAAAATTACGGACTAGTTAGCGTAAACAGCTTTGAAGATTCAAAGTTCGTGTCCACTTGATAGTTTAAAAGCTTAAGCCGTCTTAGAAGCACAGAAAGTTTAAAATAATAGAGTCGTGCAGATTACTTTCGGTTGATTTACTTTGGATTTTAATCTATCGATTGCAATTTCTTATAAATAAAAAAATTGTTTGGATAAATTATATATAAATTATAGCATAACGTATGCTACAACAATTCATTTCATGCATATTAGATTTTTGCGTTGCAAACAACTCTCTAAAATAATATTTTATAAGCTGTAATATAAAGCTGATCGCGTCTATTAGTTTACTTTTGATTCAATCCAAGTGTCTTAATTATATAACAATTATTAATTCAACTGCAATGAAAATAGTAATAATAATTGTGAAAAGAAAATATAAACATAATGTTAAGTTTATAATATACAACGAAACACTGCTGATAAATAATAAAACCTATTAATACATGTGAAAATTAGATAAAAAAGATTTGGAAAATAGGAACGGATGATTTGAGTGAGTAGATAAAATTTAATTAATTACTATAACATAATCTTGATACTAAGAAAAATATGCGACGTATGCCCACATAAATATTAAATGTTTATCGCGGCGCGGTAACAGACAGTATTCAAATCGTTCGGAAGAAAACAACAGTGGTTGATATTTTTCTTAATCTTCATTTTGTATAAGCTATCTCGAGTGCACGCCTTAGAATACGTCTCCATTTTTCCTCGTCTCCAAGGAACACTGCTCATTATCCGCGAAGAAAGAAAGCGGGAGAAAGGAGATACTTGAATAGACCTGTCCACATGATCGTGCTGAAAGATCTTGGTAGTTATTGCTTGGGTGAGTCTTTTACTTGATAATAGATTTAAGGAAACCTGTAACTTATAAACTAGATTCATCTGTAGGGAGAATATGCCCCTACCTTCTACACATGGTTACAATTTTTTAAATAAAATTCATGAATCGTAATATAGTACTTTACATGACTTTATCAGTTATAAATAATCATTAAGTAACGCTGAAATATTTATTCAATAAAATTAGTACATGACGTCTTAAAATTAAATCGTTGTTTATGATCTTGAAAACGAATAGTTCGAAAATAGTGGTTAAAAATACTCATCATATTACATTGCACAGTGTATTACCAAATACGATGCTGCTGTATCAAAATTTGAAACGAGCGCTCTCCTAGGATTCATCAAAGGAATAACACTGTCCTTTCTTATCACTTCTTTTTCGATTTTGCTTCTCGCCAACCACGTCTTCTGTGAAACCGTCTCCTTGAAGAATGCCGAGTCGTCACAAATTCAAATCAACGGATAGTCCACTCTTGACAAAGATCAACGCCGTCATCGAAATAGCGAGGTTCATCATTTCTCGTCTAGATCAAAAGGGAGCGACAACGCAACAGCCTCGCGTCACGAGCCAACGTGTCATTGCACGCTAATATCGAGATACGTATCTCATGTCGAAGAGCTGTTATCAAACGGTTTAAAATTGTCGACAGTTAATGTGCTTAACATGATTGATACCGATATCGAATTCTTGCTCTAATAATTATGAATCTACTGTAAGACGAATGTATTGAAATTTTGAATTTAATTATACTCACGATATGTTAGCGAAAGATATGGATTTCGGAAATTGTAGTAGCGGTTTATATCTTCCATTTTTTATTTTAGTGTCAACATCGAGCTAGGAATTTTAATGAATTTATGCACCTGCATCCTTTCCTTAATATTTTATGAACGTTACAGTTTTTATGTACTACAAGAGTTGATCATAAAATTGCCTCTTTTGTTGGGATAATGAAAAATCAAATAGTTAAATATGTCTATAAAATAAAAATTCAAATATTTAAAAAATTTTAATTAAAAATTAATTACATAGACGTAAAGTAATTAATAAGTTAAATCATACATTGCCTACAAAATCGTTACCAAAACATTTTATGATACTAAAGCCATTGCTTCTACGGATACGCGTGTATGCCATTGACAAACAAAAGCATAAAAATCAGAAATTTATTTGATTCTAAATTAATCAACTATAAATCAATAGAATATAAAAATTTGTAGTACTTACATGGTAGATATTAATATTTATAATACTTATTGTATTAAATGTGCAAAAGTTATCTGTTTTAGATAGTTTCTTTAATATCAAAGAAACAAATAAAAAATTTTCTTGAAAATTATGTTTTATGTAATAATAGATAATGACAGAGCTTTTTATAGGTTTATTGCAGTGTTTATTTTATTATTTTGATTGGTTAATAAATGTCTGAGTAATATTTTTAATCACAAGTTTTACTCACGTCACGAGACCTTATCTTAACATTTATTTATATCTGAAAATTTTTTATAATTTTTTTTTTAATTTTTATAAATTTTTAGATCAATATATTTTTTGAATTCATTAAGTCTACGATTTTTAGATATATTAATATCGGTATAGATATTACCTGATTATGGATAGTACCAACTCTTATAAATGTTTCCGATTCATTTATTTTGTAGCTCGTTATATTCGATGTAAGTATGTTAAGCTATTGATTACAACAACTTGTAAATAAAGGAAGCCGTCACTTATATCGAAAAAGTAAACTAGATATTATAAGAAATATTCCCATAAATTAATAAATATTAGATTGAGATATTAATAAATTATTAAAATTATTACTAGGACGACTTTATATGTATCAAGTAAATTTACGAGATGCGCTAGCTTAGTGGATAAAATGCATAAAACGCAGGAATCTCGTGCAGGAGGCCTGGATTTAATCCTCGATGGGTATTTATGTTTTTCTTTTCAAAGAAGTATATGTGCCAAAACAAACCTCGCTAGTCTGGTGGATTGCAATCCGCTTTCTAAATATGTCTGTCATCAACCCTTTGAATATGTTTAATAAATGACAGACATTTTTCATATAATTTACAAGAAGTTAACAATTCAAAGTGTAAAATCAAATATTCCAAAATGTCGATAACTACATGTCAAAAACTATTCCAAGATCTACTTAAATGCAAGAATCTTTATAGATTCTTGGTGATTAAAACATCTTGTCTACACTTTAGTATTCTGTATTTCATTTTTTTATTTCTCGAAAATGAAAGCCTACTTCGAAAAGCATTGCAAATCTATAGTGTGTCAAATATAAAATTATTCAAATTATAACATTCAATTTTTAATTAATTAATTAAAAATATATTCCATATATGATTCATGACATATATTTAATATATGATTCAAGATATATATACCCATATCTCATCAGTTCGACAACGGTGCTACTCATTTTAACACCAAAACTGGCATACGTTAGTCTTATGAGGTGAATCTCCGTTAATTCACAGAGCTCGTGATTATCAAAATATTTATCAACAAAAGGATATGCAACATCAGAACTCGCATGATATGAAAATCTACCGTAATACATGACGATAATATATGAAATGATTATCGACACATAGTTACCGACATTTGGAATATGTAATTTTACATTTTGAGTTGTTAACTTCTTGTAAATTATATCAAAATCCTCTGTTATTTATTATGTATGACTTAACATTTTTCGAAAACTGTATCAGATATCTGTCAATAAAGGTACAATTTATTAATATTAAATATTACAATAAAATAAAGTTGTTCAATACATAATCGATTTCTCCTTAGATTTCAATTCAAATTTGTTACACCCAAATATATCGAAAAATTACTAAACTACATAAAAACATCTAAATATTATTTTTATTGTAAGTTGAGACAATTAAACATTGGATGTAAATTTATTACATTCCTTTCTGTATATTTAATACATTAATCTAATAACAGAGCTAATGTGTCATAATATATAATATGAAAAAACATTGTTACAAAAAAAACTAGGATATCATTCACAAATTGTTTTTTCATAAGTCTACTATTTACAAATATAATCCTTGATCACAAATATCCACGGTTGAAAAACGTTTTAGTTATAATTTTACGTTGACAAAATACTTTCTTATCAATTGAGAGCACTTCTGCAATTACTAAGAATATAGAAATAAGTAAGCCAATTAATAAAAGTATTAGGTGCGGTGCGAATTCGTAGATGTCAACGCTGGAGACAGTCAAAATATCTTTTCTACACTTTAGAGTTCTGTATTTCCATTTTTTTATATGTCGAAAGCGAATGCCTACTTCGGAGAGCCTTACAAATCTATAGTGTATTAATTTAAAAATTATTCAATTGTTAAATAAATTAATTAAAATTATATTTAATTTATATTCATGACATACTTACCCATATCTCATCAGTTCGACAATGGTGCTATTCATTTTAACACCAAAACTGGCATATGTTGGTCTTATGAGGTGAACTTCCATTAATTCGCAAAGCTCATGATTATCAAAGTATTTATCAACAAAAGGATATGCAACATCAGGACTCGTATGATATGCAAACCCACCGTGTTTCATAAGCTTTAAACCTTCTTCTGGAGGTACATAACGTTTATCTTCTGGCAAAACCGACCAACGCTTTTTATAGAACAATTTTGTCTCCCAGTCATCTCGCTAAATATAAATTATAATAATGTATCATTAAGAATTGCTTATTAATTTCTTTAATTAATTTATTATTAATTTCTTTAATTAATCTAAGAAATACATTATTTCCATAAACATAGAAGCAATCCTATTATATTTTTATAACTAAATACATCGGCACTTAAATCACTTACGGTAATATAAAAGAGAAACCAGGGTATAAATTCTGCACTAAATTGCAGTGGCAGCTTAGATAGTTCATTGAGAGAATCATTTATTTTAATAATTGGTTCGCTGAATCGAGCTGAAACTACACTAGTCGAATAATAATTGTAAATAAGTAAACCAAACATCGTTATAGAAAGAAAAGCGATCCTGATAGATATATACGTCATTTGAGCATTGGTACCTGTAAAAATGTATCAAGAATTATAAGGAAAAATGACAATATACAAGTTAGTTCGTGTTCTGTATAACCTATACCTTGTTGACAAATAGCTCCAACCATTAATATTGAAGATTGCGATATCCTCATCGATCTAGATTCTATCCAATCGAATTGAGATGCTAACGTCAGGATTGCAGTACCGGATCCCACGACCATCATAATTAAATACCAAACGTTACTATTGAATGGGCGAAAAATTTCTTTGAATTTTATTTTTTCAACTTGTGGATTGCGGAACAAGAAGCAAGTCCTAGATGCATTCGATGACATTTTAATTAATTTTCGATATTCTCTATGTGAGGATTCGACTTTAAACACACTCGGAAAATTAAGCATGTTCAAGATCTCGTCCCAGATATTTTTTATTGAACAATAAAATTCAATGCATGTGCGAAGAAGTGATTTTATCATCTTATGGCTTATAATTCTCCCTTTATTCGGACGGAAGCGTTCATATGAGACTGAAATTACTTTCTCGCACAAGTATCAAAATGTATTATTTCAACATGTTATAAAAAAATACTTTGACTATTGGTAACAAGCCAAATTTATTTTCTTAAAATGATTAATTTTGAAAACTAGAATATTTTTTCTTTTTAAAACAAACGCTATTTAATGTAAATTATTTAAAAAAAATATCAAATAAAAATCTTACTTTAGAATTACATTTCAATATCAGTAAAATAATGTCATAACTTATCGACAAACTATTACTTCAAAAAAAAATTTACAGTGTAAGGAAAATCTTTTGTGCTATAATATGTGCTGATAGCTATATTTACTAACCTAGTAGGAAATATTTCAGACACAAATTTAATCCATCGAGTTCTTGCAACGCTCATGATCATAACTATACCATTTATATCAGCGTCATTGTTAACTAATGATCTAACTAATGGCCCCATACGATCACTGGATTCCCATTTAGGTATTGATATACACTCCAACCTGCGATATGATTAATACATTGTACAGAAAAAGATGTTTAATTTCTTATTAGTTGGATAATGCAAGTTCTACAAATATCAGATCTGATATTATTGACTAATCAATTATATAGCCACATACAGAAAACCTAGGTATTCTTGTAAACGTTAAATTTTTCATTTTAGTTTTACAGACCTGAAGTTCAACAGCTGGGAAAGGTCTACTAACATATTGTATCCAAATTTAGCTGTGCTTTCTTTTTTAGCCGTCGAGTAAGATTGGAAATAATCTTCCACATTCATTCCTTCAGGTCTGTATACTGTCTGTAAATGATAAATTTCTATATATAGTTGATATATCATTATTATCAATCAAATCGATATTCAGTAATAATAAACTCTTTATTGTCTCGAAAGCATACATAAAAATATATATATAAAAATTATAAACTATAGCCTTATCTAAGTATGTGTACTTATTCATAAGAATAATAAAAAATAACTCACTTTAAAAAATGAAGCTTGTAATACTATACCATGCAAATTCAATCTCCTGAATAATTTTGATTGCGTTAAAATTATATTTAATTTGGTATCTATTTTCCAGTCCCCTGTAAGTGTAATATTTAAGGTTCCACCTTTATCTTTAGCTGCGTTGTATACATCGTATAGTTGGTAATATTCTCCATTCTCGGATGAAATCGCTATCACAAAATTTGTTGAAATTCCAAATGCTTCATCATTAATATTATCTGCAATGTAAGTAAGATCATATCCTATTATCAACCAATATCGAAGTTCATCATACATTCTATAATCTGTAGCCTGAAATTTAGAAAAGTAAATTACTTCTTTGTATTGCGTTGTTACAATATGTAGTCGATAATTAGCTTACTTCTAGAAGAATGGAATGGATTTCATCCCAGTTATAACAGCGTGTGTCTAAAATAATTCCAAGTTTGTAGAAATCGGCAAAACCAAAAAAATGTATTGTCGATCCATTAGTTATTTTACTCAATGCTGATGTAATACCTTTGATATTAAAATCTTTAACTAGCTGAGCATCATCTATATATTCAAATACAAAATATTACTATAAATGGATGTATAAAGTTTCATACATAAAAAGAATAATACTATTTAATCTCTTATAATACCTATTATACCATTACAAGAGTATCCTATTACACTAGATACTTTTTTATAGTAGAAGTAGTCAACAATTACGTTATTTGTAAAGTTGGCGTAGGCATATGTTATCAGTAAATAAATACATATGAATAAGCAGCGCATTTTTCACTGAAATATGACAACAGTAGAATATAACTGTCCTGAATACAATTAAAAATATATGTTAGGTTGGGTTGGGTTCATTCCTATGATTTCGGGTTATTTGTCTTTTGATGCAAATTAAATTCGTCAGATTAGCAGGTTTTTCTAAGAATTGATATTAAATAAAAATCACTGGCTAAATATCAACAAATTTCTTTAATTAACTCTCAGAAACTAACTTTGTTATGCTAAGAAATTTTATTTATATTTGAAAAACAAATAATTTGAAATTGCGACTAACTCAAAAAGCCGTAAAGTTTCGAGAATATATTATGTATTATTTAAAAATACAAAGGATTAAAAAATATATTTAATTTTTATGAAACAATTTTTACTAAGTTTGAAATGAATAGTTAGAGGATCATCAACATATCACAAACATAAAACGACGTTTTTGGTAATTGAGTAATATTCTGGAATAAATTTTTAACGAACCTGTCTATTATTACTATATAAATTTGCTTAATTGAAGAACGGTATTTTGTTTTTATTATCTAAAAATTTGTAAGTACGATGATCGCACAATAAAAATAAATGAAAAAGGGTTGGAATTGGAAAATAATGAATTGTTTATTCATAATATAAAAATGTATAAATAGATTTGTATAACATTGTAAGATCTACTTACCATGAATTATTAGAAACTGTATACTTATTGTTAAAAGTTGAAATGAAAAGGCTTGTTGATATTCTGGCTATTATTTATTTATATGTAAATAATGCTTGTTCGGAATAATACTGATTGCGAAAGCAATATACGTCGCAAGAGCACTTAGCAGCAGCGAAAAAAATGAATTATTTAAGAAATCAATGTTCAATGTTTATATAAATTATAGGTGATTTTCGTATACTGCAGTATGTATAGTGATACTTTATTAGCTAACAGTATCTGACATAGAAATAACCTTATTCTTTAAATACATCAGATGTAACATAATATAACATGTCATTAACCAATCAATACTATGTTCTTCTGTTAATATTTATATTAATACCGTTAAAACAAAACAAGTTTTCTGTTTTGAATATAAATAATATTCAATATAAACGTGTAAAGGAAGAGTCAGTTTCTCGAAATTAAAATCCGGCCCGCGATTCTATTTACTAAATTATTTGCGCGGGTAAAGGGAGGCTAAAATTCTTCAACTATTGAGTAACCTGCCGGGCGTGCAAGTTATAACGTTCGCGCGAATGTGAACTTGAAATGGAAAGGAGAGGAGACAACACGACAAAAACGTGGGAAATTTAAATATTAATAAAAGGAGTTTATTGTCGGTCATCCACAAAACAAGTTTAAAACAAAGATGCAGAAAGAAGAAAAAACGACAAGATTGATTTAGCGATACCGTGTCTCCAACAGCGAACGGTCGAGGTGGTGAGCCCGGAGAGAGATCAACCGTTGCCAGGTTTGGGCGATTCTGTCAAAAAGCTTCCAGTAGTTGACTTCAGACCTTACAATTTTCGTAAAGCGGGAGCGGAACTTGTGAAGTCTGAAGTCAACTGCTGGTAGCTTTTTGACAGAATCGTCCAACCCTGACCGTTGCGGATCGGCACGAATGTATGCTCGTGCAGCGGTGACCTCGAGTACCATAAAGTGCACAACCGTGGCACTAATACACACGCTTGGTAGATAGGAACTCTGATCGACGGTACTCGCGAAACATGTGCGTAATCACAGGAGATAAAGAGATAAAGAGAGAGAGAGAAGCTCACGCTGTCGATTTCGTTGCTGCTACTGCTTCTGTTGTTCCCGCTGCTGGTGCTGGATTTTCTGACCAGGTGGTAGCTGGTGATGCGCTGGTGAAACCGCTGTGAAGGTCGAAGGCGATCCGGTGCACCAAGCCAAAAGAAAAGAAGGCCAACTCCAATTGCGCAACGGTCAGCAGTGAGGGATTTCGCCCTCTCAAACAGCTACCTCCAGTCTAGCATTTTGCAAGAAAGAGAACGTGCGCACGACCAGATGCATGCGTGCACCCCGCACTGGCCCGCTAACGGTTGTCTGCGGATGCGCGCGCAGCGTGGCTCTCGTGTGAGCTCACTCGCTCCTGCGTTGAGCCACATATTCTCTCGCTTCCTTCTTCCCTTAGTCCCCATATCTCTCTCCCCACGCATGACTGCACCTTCACGGCCTGCCAAAATCCGTGTGCCACTTCTCACTCCCGGCTCTGCCAATCGTCACCTCAAATCAAAGCGAAATCGGGTATGAGTAGTGCGCTCACGCATGCATATATGTATCCAAACTGACGAGAGCGCGCACATAGATACCAAGAGGTAACCGGCGATAGGGGAATCACTGGCAAAGTGATTTTCCCCCGTCACAAATGGATTTAGGTTTTTCATCTTTTCATATACTTTTATAAAACACTAATGTATATAATAAAGTTATTATATATTAATACTGATGATACTCGGTGTTCGCGCCTTTTGTGCTCCTCATGTTAGACATGAGCGCTTTCCTTTTTTATATTAAGATATTTTTCCATTTTCTGTACGTCTCGCCACAGTTGCACGATGCTTGGCGGTCTGATGCACACTACGCTTTTATCTTAGATCGAAAAATGTGTGCGCCTTAGCCCACGTTTTGGCGTAAGACACATGTTGGGGGAAAACCTAAGACGTCAGCCTACGACGGGTTACGCCGTACCATAAAAAAAGGGTCAATACGTCGCAATCCAGGTAGCCCAGAGATATGCGGGACGCAGAGAGATTCTACATAGGACCCATAAGGACTCTACATAGCTCCATCTTCGCAGTTTTTTGATTGGCCCCTTTTCCGACGGGCCCAAAGGGTACGAATGAATACCGCAGGATGTTCGGGTGGAAAACTGCGAAGCGATCTTAATTCAATGACAGGGTCCGAGAGGAAAGTTCGCCACTGAGATTCGTGAACTCGGGTGTGTGTTCCTGCGAGTCGACTCTTTGAGAGTGTCGCTTAAGTTTGGCCGCGACAACGCAAACCCTTTAAGTGCGTGTAACTGTGCACCAGGTAGCAGTTCAACGACCACCAACATGCTTCGAGGACTAAGGACAGGACTGCTGTAATGGAGGATATCCTCCGGAGTGTCTCCAACCAATGCTTACACGACTCTACCAACTCAGGCGACGGCATAGTGAGAGCTGCTCCGTTCCCGAGACATCGGAGCTTACACCGTGCCTTTCCAACCGGAGACACTTTCCTTCTTTATGGTTTATGCGTATAACAGTACGGTAAGCGAGATTTCTATGAATGGTTATTCATAAGCGTCAACTTGTATTATTTAACTCACAACTGATTGCTTACTGAACTTGCGTTTTCATGTTTATTTTATCTTTACGATCATGATTCAATCAACCGTTTTACTCAACCGTAGTTAAGTGACTTTTTCCCACATATGATTAGGGTTTCTATGTTGGTTTACTACGAACCTGTTTATTTATTATTAATTAAGGTCTCTTGTTACATTAGTTCCGTGAGTTCTTATTTGCACGATCACACACCCTGTTGTATAAGTTACTCCTTGCCTTATAATAATTAATTTCACTTTATTAATTATATTCATTGCGACATTGTCATATTAAACTATATGTACTCCGTACATCTCGATAACAATATATTCTGTATTGCTATCTTGTGATTTCGCTCCATCGTAGAACAACTTCAGAAAATTTTGATCTACAACTATATCTATCATCATAGCAAATGACATCAAAGTTGATCGAAGAAGATGTACTTCCATTAATTCGCATATCTCACGATTGCTAAGTACACAAGACTTAAAACTCCATTTCGTTTTTTTGCAAAATTGAAAACGTTATATGCTTTTTTACATTTTTGGAAGATAATGCAATAAAAAATCAGTCAATATGCCAAATACTCGATCTTATAAAAAAAATTTAAAATGTTATTCTGTGTCGTCGTTTGTCTGTCAACGTATAGAAATTACCTAGAAAAGATACTTTTTGTACAACATGAAATTTGTTATACTGCATTTTGCAAAACAATAGAAAAATTAAAAATAAAACATCCTGAAAATTGAGGAGAGATATTGAAAAATTATTTTGTTAGAAAAATATAGAATAATTTTATTTAATTAAAATTTATGATTTCTTATTGACTAATAATACGTGCAACTATTACCAAATTGATTTATAATTCTTACTTTCGATAGTGACAAAATAAAAGAGTATCTCAGCAACCAATGGTCTTGAAACAGTCTATAGCCTGAGGATATTATAAGTTTCTAGCGGGTAACCTTATTTTTCTTACTTTAAAAGATTTCTTTAAACTTTTGAAGATTCAACATCAACAGCTTGGGCCCTGAAATATTATCCCCACATACGAACTAAATTCAAACGTTGAACTCTCAAAACCGAGATTACATAAACTTCGCTGTGAAAAACTTGCAGGGAAATTACTTTGCATACTTTATTCTCATCTTGCGACTCTCCTTTGACTTTGCCAATTTCATTTCCTCTTTGATAACAACGGTGGCAATCTGTTTATTTAATTAAACTTTTGACAAAAAGTAACTTGTTAAAACTCGCTTTTTCAAGATATTTAACCATAAATCTTTCAATTAACTTTTTATTTTTCTATACAGATGTTTATATAAATACACACACACGCGCGCGCGCACACACACACACATGGAAGTGATTAAAAAATAGCATTTTTGAATATTCCATCATGATGAACAAATCTTACGATCGATAAGTTCAAAATCTGTCTAAGTAATCTTTCAACTCCGTTAGTTATTGTTTAAATCCACTGACTGCTTTTTCTTTTCTTTTCATCTGTATTTACTCTTTACAAATTTTCTTCGTCCCGTGTACAACGAAGTTCTATCCGCAAGAAGTTTCATTTCTCCGATGTGCTCTAATCCTTGGGGATGCTTGAATCTTCACAAAACCACCGAAGAGGAGAGAGAGCGCGTGCAAAGTGGGAATGTGTTCTTCTACCTAGTGCACTTTTACGGTACTAG